AATCTGGTATCCAGAGTGTGTGTCAGTGTTTCTCTCTGAGTGTGTGTTGGAGTATCTCTGGGAGTGTGTATCTCTGTCTGGTATCCAGAGTGTGTGTCAGGGTATGTACAGGAGTGTATATCTCTGTGTAGTATTCACAGTGTGTGTTGCGTTATGTCTGTCAGTGAATCTCTGTGCGTATGTGTTGGAGTATGTTTGGCAGTATCTCTGTTTGGCATCCTGAGTATGTGTCAAGGTATCTCTGGGAGTGTATATCTCTGTCTGGTTTTAGGAGTGTGTGTCGGGGTATATCAGTGAATGTGTGTCAGAGTTTCTCTTGCGGTATCTCTGGGATTGTGAATCTCTGTCTGGTATCCAAAGTATCTCTATGAGTGTGTATCTCTGTCTGGGATCAGGAGTGTGTGTTGGGGTATCTCTATATCTGTGTATCTCTGTTTGGCATCCTGAGTATGTGTCGAGGTATCTTTGGGAGTGTGTATGTCTGTCTGGTATCCAGAGTGTGTCAGAGTATCTCCGTGAGTGAGGGTCAGGTTATCTCTGAGAGTTTGAGCTGTGTCTGGTATCTCGGGGTATCTCTGTGAGTATGCGTCAGGTTATATGTGTGAGTGTGTATCTCTGTCTGGTACCCAAAGTGTGTGTTGGGGTATTTCTGGGAGTGTGTGTCTGGGTATCTCTGTGATGTGTTTCTCTGTTCGGTATCCTGCCTGTGTCGGAGGGACCCTGCATGTAGTTTTGTAAAGAACAACAAAACCTCTGATGACGGCTTAGGGTGTGTGGGTTGGGGTAAAGGAGGTTAAAAGACATAATTGGGTAAAGCCGTTAATTGACAAAAAAGGCAGATAACAGAAACACATGGGGTTCAAAATAAAGACATGGGGGTGGGGGAGATACAGAATCACATGGGGTTTAAAAGATGCATTTTCTGGAATAAAGACACATATTGTGTGTAAAGGGGACGTTAAGAAGCAGATATGGCATTAAGGGGTGATTAGAAGATGCACACAAAATAGTAAGTGGGGGGTTCACTTAAATCGATGCATAGACACTACTCTGTGTTTACTGACACACATTGCTCTGCATACAATGATCACACGCGGATTCCTGTGTATACTGTATATAGGGTTAATAAAATTAGCTGCTCTGAACATACAGCATATCTCACTTCAAATTAGTATACAAAATTATCAGAAAACTGTTTTTTTCTCTTTCGGAGATGTTGTGCATTAACCTTGTTTGGTAATAATTGGCCCCCTGCATGCACAGTGAATTCCTCAGGCAGGCAATGGGTTAAAAGGCTGGCAAGGAGCCCAGTTTGCTGCACACAATAGGCGTTAATCCCTGGAATGATAGCAGGCAAATTCCAATGGGTTTTTAAGTATTTAGCCCTGAGCATGCTGGGAATGTGACAATATGTAGAAGTGATTTACAGTACATATAAGACCACAATTAACACAATAAATCACAACCACTTAGGAAATTTAGATAAAACCTTAACGCACAAAGATAATGTAAAATAACTGTGACAAATGTAGAATCTGACACCAGCAACTGATAGCCTGGAAATGGGGAACAAGCTCAGATTTATTACCCAAACCATTTAACTACCCCCAAACTGCTCCATATTCACGTCAATGGCTCAGACTATCCCTACATCTTATGGAGTAACCGTAATGTATCTACTGACAGGTTCTATCATACCGTAACTATTACCCTAATACACATACAGCACTATAATTACTATTACTGTAATGAGTATACTACCGTACTCTCTATTATTACAGCACCAGGCCAGCACTGTACCCCCCTGTAATAATTACTATCACTGTATAGAGTATGTGATGGACGGCCTGGCACCCCGACTGGGTACCTCCGTCAATCACATACTCTATACAGTGATAGTAATTGTAACAGGGTGGGTACAGTGGAACACCATAACCACCGTAAACCCCACAAACCGCAGCAGCTTGGCTGGGGTCTCGCTGTCCTCCACCCACCCTGGACCCAAGACTAGGATCCAGCTTCCAGTGGGTAGACTTCTCCTAGTCCAGTGAGCAAAACATAAGAGCAAGTGTTGTGATCCAAGGGAGTATAGTGATTATAGCAATTCTCAGAGTGTGAATATAGCTCTCCAATCCCCCAAACATGAGCCTAGACTTCATTATATTATTATTATATTATTTATACAGCACCAACAAATTCTGCAGCGCTTTACAGTGGGTGGACGAACAAACATGTAGTTGTAACCAGACCAGTTGGACACACAGGAACAGAGGGGTTGAGGGCCCTGCTCAATGAGTTTAGATGCTAGAGGGAGTGGGGTAAAGTGACAAAAAAGGTAAGGATAGTATTAGACTAATTGCAAGAAAGGAATTAGAGCTATTAACAGTTTAATTGATACGCTTTTATGAAGAAGTGGGTTTTTAATGATTTTTTGAAGGAGTGGAGACTGGGTGAGCATCTAACAGAGGAGGGAAGTGAGTTCCACAGGAACGGTGCAGCCCTCGAGAAGTCTTGAAGGCGAGCATCAGAGGTGGGAGTACGGACAGAAGATAGACGTAAGTCTTCAGCAGAGCGTAAGGGCTTAGACGAGAGATACTTGTTTATTAGGGAGGATAGATAGGTGGTGTGACGAAGTGCCCTTCGCCACTTGTGCCTGGAGAGGACTGATTGCCTGCCTCTTGCCCTGTGACTATGGCCCCTGGGATGTATTGCCCTTTAAAGACATGATGTGGGCATAATGGATTTGTGTTGTGCTGCTGCTGGCCCTTTAAGAACCATCTGGGGACATACTGTGGAGTTACTGGGTGGCCACCATTTCCTGTATCAGAAGCACATGGTGAGAACAATGGATGGCGGCCATTTTAACTCACAGACACTGTTGGACTTTTCAACACGGTGCCATCTCGCCAGTATTTGGTGCACAGAGACATCGTGCAGTGGTTTTGGACTATACAGCAGGGGACACATTATGCAGTGATTGTTTTTCATTATACAGTGATTGTTTTTCATTTAGCCTGTATATGTTCTGCAGAATCTGCATTAAACTGTATTTTCCAAAGTACTGAACGGATCTGGGTGAATTTTGGATATGTGGTTCACCCAGATCCCCCGGTTCCAAGGATATACTTTTTATGGGGTTATTGCATGTTTTGGGGTCCCTGTGATGTGTTTTATGAAACTGTATTTCTCTGTCTGTGATAATTAGATTACCCATTGTGTTCAGTAATCATATCACAGGCAGAGGGGAGGATTTTGCGTGGGAGTGTCTGTGTGTATTGTACAGATTGATTGGTTGTTTTGTAAAACCCTGTGGGCAGTACTAAGTTTGTGGATTGGGAATAAAAAAGGCTGTATGTGCCAGTACAGTCAGTTCCTGCTTAACCCTCAAAGTGAAGTGTCGTCTCATTATTCTGGGAGGATTTATTGTATGCTGTTCCAGTTTGACTGCTAGGAGTGTAAACCTATTCGCATGGTTTTCCCTATTCGGCTGTATACAACATTCATATGCTTGAGAGCATTCACATGCTCCTATGGTTCGGTGGTTTTGGTGTCTGCTGCAGTGCTTGGAGTCCTCAGGAAGTGCTAGGAGCATCCTTCAATGGAGGTACCCAGTCGGGGTGCCAGGTGATCCGTTACAGCACCCTTTTATATATGGGTAAGGTCAGATAGGTTTTAACGAGTTGTAGTAGGTTGTAATTAAGGGTTTATAAGCCTCCGAGGTCATCTGCAGTGCTGTCGGGGTCAGGTTTTGTCAAAGCTAGGTGGACAGGGGTGCGTTCTGGGTCACCCTCAG